TCCCTACATTTTTACATAAGTATCCCCTAAATTGAAACATATGTCCCCTAATTCTAGCATGCCCATTACAGTCAATTAAGTAGCTCATAATTTAGTCTAAATGCTCCAGTCATCTCATTTCTGGAGATTAATCTTAAGCATTGACATTCTTCCCTTATAAGGAAGAATAACCACATAAATGCCAAGGCGTTGGTTATAAAATAGACAATGTGACAGAGTAGGAACATTTATTTCCAAACAAGGGAGACCATTTTACTGCCAAAATTTTGATTGTAATAGGATCGTTTTGCTCTGTTAGTGGGGCACTTAATTCTCTAATCAAAGAGACTTCAGCTTAGTGCAATAGACACTGATTTGATAAAGTAGCAATTGTTCATTTTGCTAAAACATAAAAACCTGGATTCTCACTGGCTGGGAGTATGGACTCAAATCACATGCTGCAGTCAATCAGCTTGTGTCTTATTCATACAAATGTATGCTACAAGAAGCTGCTTTCTGATCTACTGCAGTCTGCCCTGTCTTACTGAGTGTCCGTCAGTAAATAAGGAAAGTTCTGCTATTCATTATTTTAGTGGGCTGACATCATTTTCATTTAGAGCTAGGCTGTAACATTTAGCCTCAGGCCTATACCGAAGCTACTGTGAAGCTGTAATGTCTCCTGTCAGAGGGAAGGATTGTGTTTCCCTTGGCACCCTCCCTTCTCCGGCTCTCCGACGTGCAGACTGTGACTGCCCTTGTCCACTGTGCAGGCAGCTCAGAAAGCTGCTTGCACCCTTCATCCCATGTACCCCCACTCTAAGGTTAGGACAATTTTGCTGTTTAGAGTGCCTACAGATGTTTAGGCAGCCTGTTGGGAAGGCAGTCTAACTCATGGCGCTTTACACAGAAGCCCGTAGCTGGGGTGCTAGGGGGAGCTGGGGCAGGCCCGTGAGGTGGGAGGGGCTCTGTTCCCCCAATCCCCTGCCCAAGCCTCTTGATAGAGGCAGCACACAGCTGTCAGCTCTGCTTTGCCACAGCTGGAGCTGGGGCAGGAGGCAGGAAAGGGGGGAAAGGAGCTACCTCTCCTTGTGGACCCAGGCTGGCTCCTCCCAAAATGCCAGTAGGGGTACCTTCCCCCACCTCCCCACCACACCCCATCCCTCCCCCTCTGCACAGGGAGAAGACTCTCTCCTCTCTGTGACAACCCTGGGGGTGGGGCTGGGCTGGTGCTGACCCAGCTTTGCAAAGGAGCATGGGATGCAGATGGAATTGCCTGCACTTAACCCCAGCAGGGAACCCAAACAGAAGTTTCCAAGGTACTCTACTCTAGAGCTCTTTCAGCTAATCGCTGATATAACAAGGGTTAATTTTTCACATGATTGGCCATTTTAAAAACGCTCTGTAGTCATGAACTTGTGTTATGTCATGGGTGTAGAGCATTTCCACGATCCTTATCATGCAAAAAATGTAACTTGTTTAAGCACCCTTAATGTAGCTGTTCATGACCCATTATACCAGCCAGTCTGAACAGTCTGCCTTTGACAATAGCCTGTGCCTTATTAAGTTTACACTTCAGTGCACAGCATCCTAATGTTGCTGTACCTTTAAAAAAACATAAAAGTCATCAACTGTGCTATAAAGTAGCAACTGTGGTATAAACTATCCCGTTACGTAAAATGTTTAATTAGAAACTTAATGGTGAGCATAGTGGTAGCCTTTAAAAGGTAATTGTGTTGGAGAGTTTAAATAATTCCAATAGCCTAATTGCCAAATTGTTGATAATGCAAGCTGCCACATATTTGACTGTAAAATGCCTCAGGACACTTGTTTGCATATAAAAGAACTAACTGAAGTCAATTAAGCCTGTAGATTAAATTATGAATCAAAGTTCGGGGGTTTTTAGGTTAAAAATAATATTCATGTGGCTTGGCCACAGAAAAAGCAGAAAGGAATATATTAACCTATCAACACATGGAAATATGAAATGCAAATATTTTTTTAGCTAGACCTGCAAAGAGTTTTGAAAGGGACAGTTAACAGAACCTGGGTATGAAAACAAATATAAAAAATTCTGTAGTAGTTAATTAAAAATTCCTTCTTTCTAGATTTAGCCACAGCAGCCTGCAAATAACTTAATTTCCTCTGATTTTCAATAAAAAGCTACATTTGTAGGAGCAGCAAAAGGACAGCTACTTGTGTTACTCCTGAAATTCAGTTTCCCTTCCTTGAAAGAACATGGGTATATAAATGCCATGTAAAGCTTTGATGTTATTAATTGCTTTTAAGAAAGGCACTTAGGCCTGAAAAAATTAAACCCATCCTTACATGTTTATATTTTTTTCCATAGGGATTCATTCTCAAAGAAAAATATTAGTTAGTGCAAAGATTAAGTGCTTTGATTGTAGTAGATAGTTACAAATGGGAGTAACATATAGTAGGATCAGAAGCGGGCAAAGAGTTCTTCATGTCTGCAGTATTAGGATGAGAAGGACCATGGTCCCTGCCTGCAATGCAAGCGACATAAAGCAAGAGCAGGGAACTGAACCTAATGTCCAGTGTGAACTTGAGCAATTGTCTAGGTGCCTCAGATCCTTCTCTGTAATATGGGAACAATATCTCTTCCTACCTTGGTGGGATGTTGGGAGGAGATACAGTAAGGACTGTGAGATGCCTGAATATTGAAAACCATATGCATTCCTTCCCGCTACTCTCCTCCACTCCCCCCCGCACCCCCCCCCCATAGACAAACACACCATAGGTTAAGTTAAGCCGGAGAGAGGGAGGTAACATGATCAGTAAAAAGTTGCCAGCTTGCCTCCAGAAAGGTGAGCCTCAAACATAGGACGGCATCTGTTTGAGTCACCAGTTGTCTAGTTGACTAAGTCCATTAGACTTGGTTGATCCTGGTTCGTCAACTGGAAATGTAAACCACCCATTCATCTTCCCTCTTTAGGCATTCCCTCTTTAGTGCTCTGACTTTCAGTTCCAGGCTTGTTTGACCCTCGAGCTTATGTTTCTCATTAAACTCAAATTTTAAATTTCAATATAAATGGTTCAAGCATGACAGCTCTCAAGACTAAGCTCAGACATTCCTTATTATAAGGCCCTCTGTTCCATTTTTCACTGTAGTAGCCCTCTGCTTCACTCTTTCTGCTTTAACGGTATGTTTTGTCAAATAGGATGACCAAAGCTGGACAGATAGCCAGTGGTTTAAGCTAGACCTTATAGAGCATTGCAGCACAGCACCCTTGGTTTCTCCCTTGATGTGATACAGATCAATAGTTTATTTGCCTTCTTTACTGCCTGCAGCATGTTGGACAAAGGATTTAAATATTGGGTCTATCAATATACTCATCACTGCAGCAGATTTGAATATCTAGAAAGAACTATCTTTGATGCACAGATAAAACACAGCTGGTGCTGTGATATTTGCTTTGTGCTATATATACAGACACAATATTCAGCTTAGGCAGGGAAAAAGCTAAGCATACAAAGCATACTTGTTTTTGCTTCAGTTCTCTGTGTCTTCAATGTTTCTCTCGTCTTTTTTTTTCTTCCTCGCTCATGAGTCTTCTTAGCCAATTAGCCCTTTGGACAAAGATCCAGTAATCCACTCATAAAAATACACAAAACATCTGGGATTCTGGTGATGAGCCAGGGACACTAACTTGGCTTGGTAGTGAGAAGAAATGGGTCAAATTTACAAAATTTGGATCCAGATCAATCTTACAGATCAGGATTCATGTTCTGGGTATGGACCTTTCATTAATAGCGACTGACAGTTGATATCTGTTGACACTTATTTAATAGCATGTATGAAACAAAATAGGATGGACAGTCTAATTCCCAGAGGTTATGTGTTCACATTGCAATAAAATATTGTATGTGGTGTGACTGGTGACACCCACAGCAGGCATCTGAAGATTGATGGGACTAGTGATATTTATTCTCTTCATCTCTAGAGACAGATCCTCCAAGTAAGAGTTGGGGCACTTCAGTCAGAGAAGTATGTAGAAGGTCACATGTCTTCTGCATATGTGATGCCTCAATTTCCAGGGCAACCAAGATGATTACTAATTTTTAAGGGGGTTCTTGGTTGAAGCTGATGTCTACCAGGGACCTCATATTTATCCTTCCTGATTTATTTTCTGCGTCATGTTTGTCTTATAGGTGAAATTGACCTGCAGATTCTTTCAAAATTGCAGGCCAGATATCCAGGAGTGGCCATTAACCATGAGGTGATAGAACCAAGTGATGAACAAATCTGCCACTACAAAGGTATTTTAACTGCAAAGTTGAATAATGACACACTTGACATGTTATAAGGCATTTTGTCCTGATTTCACTTCTAAAAGTTAGTTACTCATTTACCAGTATATAGTATCATTCATATTGTTAGTAGCACATGTAAAATAAAATGGGAGGTAAAGTCCATTTTCCAAGGGTATATATTATATTATTCATATGAAACAAATATGAATATTATGGACCTTCTTGCCTTTTTTACAAAATGTCCTAGCTTCCAGATCTTCAAGGAGTTTTGCATGGGCATATGTTCATGACTTGACAGATTGCTTTACAGTGTCAGGTTGTTGGAAAATTAGATATTACCATATTTCACTGCATCAAAATGCCCAGGAATAAGATACACACCTTATTTTTCAAAGACAGAATGAAGGGGAGGAAAAAACTTTTCTTGCAGTAAGTAACTGAGTAGCAGGAGCTAGGAACCTGAGCCTGCTCACTATTTTGCTCCCTGCAGATTGTGTTCAGAATTTACTTTTGCCCAGCCTAAGCTTAAGTGGCCAAAACTCCTGTTACCATAGTGCCTCACATATATCGCCACTTTCCAGCAGCTGATTTTTTGGGGAAAAGTGTGTTACAAGCAAGAAAATATGATACATGCAGTCATAGTAGTTTAAACTGCTGAATGGCCAGATGTAGAAGTGAAACAGAGTTGAAACTTGTCAACAATTGTGTGAGAGACCTACAGCTGCCAAAACTAGGGGCAACACAGGAAACAAGAAATTGGTAACCATGGGCTGTCAACATAATGTAGCTGAGAAAAAGGCAAAGGCAACTCTCAGGTGTATAGCTGTCTCTGATGTGGAGTTCTGTGTTCCAAAAAAACATTAATTTGAACAGGAACAGGCACAGAGAAGGGATATTAGGATGGTCAGGATAGTTGAAGATCTTATATTATGAAAATATCCAGGTTAGGGACAGAAATTACATATGGACTGCTATAAGTGATTGGGAGCTGGGTCAAATCTGTAACACAACAGAAGTTCAGTGCACATAAACTGTTTTCAAAATGGCTGAAACCTGTTTAAGATAAACCTGGATGGATGCAGTATCAGACTTAACTGATTTAGGTTAAATTGGTTTATTTAACTTCTGTCCTACATCCCCTCCCGATTCAAGTTAACTCACAGTCCCCCAGTATCCCAGGATGTTTTGCATCTCCCCCTACAAACCCCACCTCTCAGGGTGGGTGGGCTGGCCTTTGCCCAAGCTGTCTGCTCCAGCTGAGCAGGAGGTATACTCTAGCGCCCCCTGGCTTCTGGCCTGGGCCACTGCAGACATGTGGCTACATTTCTGGAATCAAACGTGAATGTCGGTTTGCTTGCCTATTGGATGAGTTTATTCAGCTTAGATTAACCTGCAAAAATTGAATTGATTCAGCCTTGGGCTTTTTGACTGTCTGCACTTAGCCTCGCTCTCTCACTAATTAGCTGGCTGCATAATATTTGCTCCTTTTCTGTAGAAGGTAAAAGAAAAGGGTGTTACCTTTATGTTAATTTTTAGTAAACTAAAAATTTAATTCTAGGCTAAGTTTATATTTAACATTTTGTTGATTTGTATGTAACCTTGTCTCCCACAAATATAAAAATATGTCATAAGCTCTTTCTTGAAAAGTGGGAAAGCTGTCTGTTCTCTTGACAATTCAGAAACCAAATTCTCAACTTAATCTGCTTTGTCCTTCCATGGGGGTAACAACCTAATTTCCATGTTAAACACATAAATCCATTCATTAGGTGAGCCTGGGAAATGGCTATGACACCAAGTGTAGATTGGCATGGCTGAGTTTTCTCCTGTAACTATAAAACCTAGAGTGGCAACTCAGTTGTTTTGACTTCTGGGACGTAGCCAACAAAGAATGCCATTAAATGTGATTGGTCTGAGTCTCAGTAGTACATTAAGGCCCTTTGGATTGCTGAGAACCCTGTATTTCCAGCGTCAAGTCAAACCACAAGAGAAAGCGCCACAATTCATGGTTTTTGCAGCCAAGAGGGGACTGCCAGGAGGAGAACTGGCACATAAATCTGGGATAACACTCTCCCCAAGTGCAAATTCTCAGAACTGCTACGAGGAGTTGAGGTTCAGATTATTTTGGGGACAGAAACCTATTTTAGCCAAAGCCAATTTATGGTTTCTGAACATTGAAACAAAAACCCCACGCTGTTCTGACTTGGCAAGCAATTCAATTTTCTTCCTAATGTCTCCTTACAGACCAACTAGCAATTAGATTGAACCAGATTGCACCAAATTATTTGTGATTGTGATATGGACTGCTGCTGAATGACGGCTGAGTTTAAAATAGCAAATTAGATCTGAACTGTGGGCACACAGGCCAATGACTGATAAATGGAAGAGAACAGACTAGCAGCAGCAGCATCCAAAATGGGTAGCCCACTTCCAAAAGTAAAGGGAAGGGAGATAAGCGCTGATGGAACATTGCTCATCTGTTCTGCAGAGGTATATCATAATCAAAACCTAAAAAGAGAAACATTTTTATTAGTGGTATAAAAGCACTGATTTAAAAAATCATATTATTCTGAACCTGTGCTTGTACATATAAGGATTTAATTCGCCATTATGGTACATCCATTTCACTGAGGTCACACCATTGAAAATAACAGGTTTTCAGGCTTCTAAATTAGAGCATATTATATTCTTTAACCATTTTTACCCCTATCTCAATCTTTGTACACACATTAAATCAGTGCTTTCAGATATGCCTCCTATCTCCTTTCCATAATTATCATCGCAATAAACTACTACTTCACTTTTGACCCAAGCAGTTAGTAAAAAAAAATCAGGGTCTTGCAGATTGTTCTGATTAGAAGGAGGAATTGTAATTGGAGACTGGTATTTTTATGAGGCAGACCTATTTGTTTATAAAACAGAACAAAGTCCTGTTTCCCTGAACCCAGCCGGAATAAAACGTCAAGATATAATGCCTTTATTCCCAGTTTTAAACCTCTTTTTCAGTTAGCGCTTAGTTCAAAAGTTCTTTCTCTTAGCTTCCCTCTTAGCTTCCCTCGGGAACATGTTCCCGTTGCTTGTTCTGATTATATCCTTATCTTTCTCTGCCCTTGCTCCTTTGGAATTTCACCATGGTTCTCTCAGAAACAAACTTACACAGCTCCATCAATTAATGCCCTAGCACTTCCAATTGCTGTAGTCCCTTGGTTACCACTTAGCTTATGTGTCATAGCCCCCATTCAGCCTCGAAGGTCTATGCTTTGGGTGGTAACCTCTGCTGTTTTGAATATTCCTGAACATTTAATTGCTCTCTCAGTTATTATAAATAGGAGAATACTTTTATGAGCAACAGTTTTGCAATATCCTCCACAAAGCCCTGATTCTGAACCCAGCTGAAATAGGGGACATCTGCATGTGGGTCTAAATGTTTTCCCATTCTTGAGGGAGCCAAATCATGGTTCCAGATACCAGGACTCTGTGGAAGTTGGAACCAGATTATGACCCTGATTTTTATGTTTGTGCCCATCTGTGCTGAAAAGCCTGTTGGATCCCCAGAGTACATAGTGCCAAACTTTGTACAGATAAAGACATGATATCCACTTGATACTTCATCCTACAAAGATCTGGCCAGTCATCCTTTGATTAAGACTGTTCCCATAGTGGTCATTTAGTACTGTTAATTGCTCACGTTATATAAAATATAGGTTCAATATTCTGAATAATCTGTTGCTACATTAAAAAAGATACTAAAATGCCATACTTTAAGATAACGTCTGGCTGCATTAAAATTCTGAATGGAAATGGATACTACATTTGCAATTGAGATGAACTATGTACCATCCTCTCTGTATTTTAGACCGTGTAGCTAAGACATCAAACCTAGAGAACGTAAAGTTTACCTGGCACAAAGAGACATCGCATGAATATGAAAGACGAATGAATGCGAAACAAGAGTTTAAAAAATGGGACTTTGTTCACATGATTCAGGTAAAAGTCTGTTCATGGTAAATGTTGTCAAAGATACCACTCTTAAAAATAGGCATTAGTTTTGTGACCTCAGTATGCACTTGAATGAGAAGATGTGTGAGCATATTTCCTTAGAATTCAAAATAAGCAGTCATAAAGGAACTGCAGAAATGAAAGCTGTTTTAGTACACTGTTGCCGTGGAGAACCACTGCTCTGTTAATCAGGCTATGTGTAACAATCAGGGGAGAAATACACTTTATTGTCTTCAGAATTTTACTCTTTTTATGAAGTGGTCTTTGTACTTTGAGGTGCACTGAAGCTGACATAGATCTCTGTCATAGATAGCTGTTCTCACTCTCAAAAAGCAGTTTTTTTACTTTGGGGTAATTAATGTATGCAGGCTACCCCCAGTAAAAATATAGCAAAGGCATTGGTAACGCGTAGGGGGTGCACATGAATGTACGCCTATCCCCCCTGAGATTGGCTGTGTTGGGGGAGTGGAGAGGAAGGGCAGAGAAGAGGGGTGGAGAAAAGAAAATATTAAGAACATTTAACATTTTTACTTTTTTCATTCTACGGACAGCATTTCTTTAATATAGGACCTCATCCATACTTTCTCCTCATTCAAAATCCATGCCTGCCTTTTCAGCAAGTACTCTCCGCAGAAAACTCATTCTCTTTGAGGTTCTTCTTGGGTCACTACTCTCCTGCTTCTCCCATTGTCTGTTCACTTTCTTCCGGCTTTCTGTTTCCTTCTTCTCCCCCCACCCTCCTCACCCACCCAAATCTGTAGCCAACTACTACCCAATTTGTATTCAGTATCAAGTTAATGCTCTTCAGCCTGACACACTTAACTGAAAATAACAATTCTCATTCCAGATGCTTTATTATGTGCAAGACATTGCTGCTACTATCCGATATTTTCATAGTCTCCTGGATGCTAAGGCCAAGCTTCTCATTATTATTGTATCAGGTAGGTATTCTTATGTGATTTCTCCACATGCACAGTTCTTCACATGCACAGAATCCCATTTTGTCTAAAGATGTCCAAGTCCTACTTTAGCATCTAAATGTAGACATGCAAGAGGCACTATTTCCACTTAAGTGGCTATACTTATCCTTTTGAGTAGGCTCAGAAGAGATCAGGTACTTTATGCTTTGTGGCAATACTGCTTTACCTAGGAACGCCCATAAGTCCCGAAAACCTTCATCACAGAAAGTCCAGGAGAACTTGCTATTTGACAGAGAAAAAGTCTCCTCCCATTTTTTAGCTTATTAGCCCTTGATGAGGGTGCTTGCCTAGGAAGGAAGTGACCCAGGTTCTAGTCGCCAATTCCTTTGTGTAAGGACTGGGTCATGGGCAGTCTTGCCTATTGGTTAGGCCACCAGAGGAGGGTCAGAGACAGAAGCAGAGTCCAAAACACAAGTCAAGTCAAGGTTCACGAGTCAGATATCGAGTTAGGAAATCCAAGGGGAAATTCAAGAAGCCAGAGTCCAGGAATAGAGCCAAGCTGGCTCAGAAACCAGAGAACACAGGATCGGAGAGGCCTACCAGAGAAGACTTTCAGAGAAAGTGCAGCTTGCTGCCACAGGGAGAAGTAGATCAGTAGGCTGCTCTTCCCAGTAGCCTATGGGGAGACCCTACCAGTGGCCAGGTAGAATCACTAGCTGGGGTAGGGCTGCCAGTCCAAGACCCAGGCAGGTGTGGACAACTAGGAAATTAGCTGAGGCTAGGCTGCCTGTTAGGGCCCCTGACACCTTGTAGGAAGGATTACATCCACTTTTTTCTCTTAATGGCAAGCCAATGACACCCGTCAGTACTTCTATTGCTTACTGGGCAGCTAAAGAGGAAGGGCCTGGAGAAGTAGCCAGCAATGCTAATTGTGGGCCTCAGTGGCTGGGCACTGACCTGAAAAAGGGGTAACTGTTGGTTTGGGAGGGTCAGGGGGCCTAACAATAGCCCAGTCAGGGTCCGGGGGTAGGACAAGTGCAGTCCCAGGGCTACGATGAATGGCTGGGCTTTCCCAGCCCAAGGGCTGCACTCTGAATGTGTTCAGGCATTTGATAGACCAGGTTAACCTGTTCCCAATCTAAGATAGTTCACTTCCTCAGAGGTGATCAGGCCTGCCATTTTTTTGCCTGATTTAACCCTTCTGAATGCCTGCACAGATGGCCATTTAGATCAGCGTAACCTTAGTTATGTTGATTTAAATGTAATGGCTGTACATACCCAAAATGACTACATTTTGATTCACCTTATAGACTTCTATGCCCCCAAATGGCAGTTTTCCAAGTGGTCTCGTGGGCACTTACACACAGTTGGTGATTCTGTTACCTGTGTAGTTTGGACACGTAGGCTTTTGGGTATGTGCAGTAGGCTATGCACTGGCTGGGTAGGTATGTGGCTACCTATGTGCATATAGCAGGTGAGCATAAGTCCCAACAGAGGACCCTCCTGTGTTTTAGCCCCAATAGCTGATGTTTTCAAGATCAGGCACCAGGTCTCATAACTTCCAGGGACATGTAGAATTGAGTAAATAGCTATAACTGATCTGTCATGCCACGCAACAAGCATTTATAGACATATGGTTCATTTTCCCGTTTAACTGCCCATTTCCTTAATATCATTTTATGTGGGGAAAAAACTAATCTTTAGGATTAGATGGGATACTTCAAATCTGGCTGAAATACTGTATATCATGGATGGTCAAATCATGTCCAGTGAGTACTTGAGTCATGGCCTGTGTGCTCCTGCTGCCATTACCTCCACAGCTTCCCATGCTTCTGCCCCTGGGTCTAGGTGCTGCTCTCCCAGCTGTCACTACATCTTTCTAGCACCTATTCCTGCCACAGATCCTCCCCGCACTGTTCCTGGCATTACCACCTTCTTCCTCGGCCTCTGCTTATTGTAGCTTCTGCTTGTGCCCCGAGGCAGCGTGGCCTGCGACCCCTGGAGGGTCAGAAATTGGACAGCTTTGCTGTACATGATCAATTCAACAGCAAAAGGGAAAATCAGAATAACTTAAGGTTTACTGTGAAATCAGATGAAGCTGATTAAATTAGAGGTGCCATGATTGGCATCTAACATAACTCAGGAAAAATTTCACTATATCATTGAGTTATAAGGAATATTTGGATAACAAGATCCAAAACTTTATAATCCTCATCTATGATTATTTCTACAGGAATAAGGATTATTTGTTCAGTGCTTTGTTTTTGTTTTTATAAGATTTGGGCAATATTTGTGTTGTTTGATTTTTTTTGTAGAGCTAATGTATCTCTTTTACAGGCCATAAACAGCCTGTAAAAAAGCTGCAATTTCCTGATATATGCTTATTATAAGGGGTTTTTTTTCTTAAAAAAAATAATATTTGAATAATTTTTAGTTTGTAGTGGGGGGGGGGTCTACATGTGATACTACATCACCATAGCAACATGCTACAGCGATGTAGCGTCCATTGGCAAAAACCATGATGCTGCCATTAGGTCACCATAGCAACGTGCTCCTTCAGTATAATGTGTTGCTATGGTGACGTAGGGGCTAAAAATAATCGTGCACTGCTGGCACGGTGTAGTACAGGCTTTACTGCGCCATCATTTAGTACTTCCAAAAGGAAATGATGACGCAATAACAACGGTGCCATAGGGGCACGTGTAGACACACATGGATTGCAGCTGTTAATTCCCCATATTCCATATTTAAAATTATAACAGATTTGAATGGATGCATAGATCAACTAACATGTTTATGTCCTTTGATTGCCAAGCAAAGCTCTTAAACTTGGGTTGTTGGCAATATTCTGGGATAGTCATGAAAAACTTTTCCTGCCAGTATACATGGTCACTGAAATACTTATGGGAGGTGAATGAAGAAAGGGTGTCAAAATGAATTTTTTTAGAAAAAATCTGCACTAGTTTTCATATTTGAAGATCTCACCGAAATTAGTACGTTTTGAGAGTCATAATTTTTCATGGTACTTGGCTCTGAAAATCATGCAATTCATGATTTACAAAGATTACATGAATGACTCTTAAGTATACGCTCAGATACATATGCAAGTAATGATTGCTGATTTTGCATGTTTGATTTTTGTTCTGCAATCTTCCGTCCTTTCTGATTACATGTCGGCAAGTACCGTATTTACTTGAATTTACTTCCCCCCCGCCCCCCCCCTTACTATCAGGCACAGCTTGGCTCTGGCTCAGGCTACATTTCCTCTCGGGCACAGAGCACATGGAAACTCTGTCCGCTGCCTGACCAATTAGCAGTGCTGACACTGATGCATAGCTCTTGCCCAGCCAATCAGCACCATCGACACTGCTGTATGGATGGCAGTGGCTGTGCTTCCACCTGCTGTGCTCTGGGAGGGAACAGAGCCTAAGCAGCATCCGACAGTAAGGGAATGAGGGGAGGGGAAAAGTAGAGACTGTTGGGAGCCGTTGCAGGGGGCGGCAATGAATTAAAGACACCCCTCCCGTAATTAGATTCTATATCTGGAAAATTATAACAAATTAATACATTTTTCAGATATAGAATATAATTATTAGGGGATTGTCTTAAATTCAGGGTCGACTTTGATTTGAGTAAACATAGTATGTCTGTAGCGGGATGTCTTGGAGTAGCCAGTAACGTCTGAAAAAGCTTAATGATGAATGGATAATGGAATACAGAGGAACAGAAACTAAAACTGCTAACAGGAAAAAGGAAAGCCAGAGCAGAGGCAGATCAGAATAGCAGGGAAGAAAGAAAATAATAAATGTGAAGGGGAGGGAGAAACCCTGAACAGAATGAATTAAAAAGAGACTTATAAGATGGAAAGAGACAGGAAAATAAATACAAAAAAGCCAGTTTCAAACTATTTAGCCCTCAACTCCCCCTCCCCCCCCCAGTGCAGCTTATAATTCCCTGCATTAGCACATTAGGATGTTTTAATATTTTATCTAGTGGAAGAACAGGAAACAGAGAAGGGACACTAAGGAAAACTTGGTCACTCGGATATGTTTTCAGTTCCTCCCAATCTATACTTGTCAAAAAGCCAATGCAGCTACCAGAGTTATGTTGTGTTATTTTTAACATAATAAAAAAAATACCATTCAGTTTACATCATCTTGAAAGCAAAAGTAGCACCATATGTTGTGCCTATAGAGAGCTATTAAAATAATGCTTCAGTCAGGTAGTGTATAATTGCTCAGTGCAGAAATGGCACTGAGTCACAGAACACTGACACCAGCAAATTTTCTGCAATTAGTGCCCTGCATTCAATTTTCACCAGGTGAAAAAATATCACAGAGCCTCTTCCAAACCATGGAAGTGTTTATTTTACTGTAGGTAACCATCTGCAAATCAGACGCTTTCCAAAAAAAAGGCAAGCAGCTCGTTTTGGTTAAGGGAATTTACCATCACGACTCTCAACACCCCCTCATTAGGCCTCATTTTACTTCCATACCACCCTGTCAGGGTGCATCACCCTTTTTATAAATGATTTACATCCAGCATGTGGAGTCATGGAACTGGGATCACAGAAAATAAAGATGTTAATCTTGCTTTGTTTTCAGCCTACCCAAATGCTCCTTTCTCAACTGTCCTCATCTCAACCCTCTGTTGATGCAAAGAACATCTCTGGTTTGAAGATGTATCCACATATCTTTGTATCCACATATCTCTGTAATCTCTATGAGCCAGATTAGCCATGTTTAGACATATGTAGGGAGGAAAAAGGAGACAAGAACACTTCCTTCTCTCCATTCCCCTTGTACAGTAAAGTGCAGTCAAAAGGATGGCTCCAGAAGCCAATTAGCTTACCCCAAGCAGGTGAGATAGGGGAGAAAAGCACGATGTCCTCCTTCCCACCTATGTGTGGAGGAGACAGAGCAGTAGGTATGTGTTTCCTGCCTATATAGTAACTCTGAGGCAGAATTTTGCTCCAGACTCCTGAACCATCCTGTACTCTGGCTGCTTGGCAGTTTCCGCAGTATAGCCCCAGGTAAGTATTAGATACAACTGAATACTGTACTTGTCATATATAAGTTTTAGAAAGCACAAAACGTGTATGCAGCATAGAGTAAGAGCCCAATCCTACATCACTGAAGTCAATGTTGTCAACCTCAGGAGCAGCAGGATGAGGCCTTGCTGTTTCATACGGTATCCTGGTTTCTCTCTCTACCTCTCTTTCTGCATCTATTTTTGTGTTACATACACGCACACTCCTATCTACCTCTTTAAATAGGTGATAGAGCATACTCCAAAGTTTCTGGCACTAATGTAAACCAAAATACATGAGAAGGAATGGGCTTCAAATCTTTAGGTTTCAAATATTTGTATCTAGGAACATTCTGGTCTGGGACAGAAGTTCCATAAACCAGCTGGACCTAAATCAGTCAAGTCTGATATGACATTCAACCAGGTTTATCTTAAACCAGTTTCAGCTATTTGGAAAGCAGTTTATGTGCACTGAACTTCTGTTCTATTACCGGTTTAAACTGGCTTCTGATCACTTAAACTGGTTTATGTGCAACTTTTGTCCCTAGCCTCTGAGGGCAGTGGGAGGGGATTCTGGGTGATACAGGCCCAGTGTAGAAGGCCCATGGTATAGGGCTTATTTAAGATGCTGTGTTCAGTGGGGATGTGGAGGCTGTGCACTCTAGCTATTAGGGGTCAGTCCCTGAGACTGTTCCAGTGCCAGTGTAAACAGGCACTGTTTACTTGGTATGGATCTAGCTCCTCCAGCTATCCCAGAATCCTACCGATTTATAGGTAGCATACAATCACTTTGGCCCCATCTTTTAAGGTATATCTCCTGAGTTCAGAAAAGACTCTGCTCAGATTAGGACCAGAATCTTTTAAAATGACCACTTGAAACTTTGTTCAGTAGTCTTTCCTAAATCATATTATCAACTCCTTAAAATTCTCTGGCAGGATCCAGTGGCTGGGACACACTGTGGAAGAAATATGGATCTCTCTTACCACTAAATGCTCCTAGCTGTTATGTTTCATCTGCTGACATCAAAAAGGTACTCGATACGGAGGGGCTGAAGTACCAGCTTTTTGAGCTTCCATCCAGTATGGATATAACAAATTGCTTTATTGAAGGAAACAAAGACGGGGAGCTTCTGCTGGATTTTTTGACAGAAACTTATGAGTTTAGCAAAACTGCTCCACTTCATTTGAAAAATGCAATAATGGAAGATCTGAAAAAACCTGAATGCAGTGGAGAGAGAGATGGAAAGGTCTTTTTTAATAATAACCTGAGTGCAATAGTGATTGAGCCATAAATAAGTGCTAGTGGATTTCTCAACCCATAAGCACTGTAAAAGCTCTGCATATTTTGCAGACTGGTAAATTTACTGGGGTACCGATAAACGTATTAGAAATATTAGAAGGTATGAAAACAGTAGTTGTTTTACAAATGTATATCTATGTATTGCTAATTCTTTACTAATATATGAATGAATAATTTGCTGAATATAAACTTCCTTTATTATACAATAGCTTTATAATCAAAATGCCTGTAAGTGGGACTGTTAATTAAAACCCAGCAAGGACCAAAATATAATCTTCAGCCTAATGTTTAATAATGACCTTGAAGACATTTGAACACCGTGTTTGAAATGCATTGTATAGTCAAAATATTTTTCTTAAAAGAAATACATCTGGAAACCTCCCTTCTCCCTCTTATAGCTTATAAACTCTCATTCCAAAAGTACTGATCTTGCGACTGGCTCCTCAGCTGCTAATGGTTTTTGAAGTTATTATGCTGCTACCATCAAAATGACAGCACCTCCAGTTATTGTTCTAATACCCCCTCATCTTGTGCAAACATCACTTGCCCTATTTGTCAACATCACTTAATAGTACTGCTTTACTGTTTCCATATTTTCAGCTTTAATTTATATTGTTTTACCTACTACTTACCTTCTCATACTTGTCTTCTTCTTATCTTCTTGTATCTTCTCATATTGTCTCATAGTCAGTACTTCTATACAGTAAAATCTCTGTTATTCGGTACTTCACCAACTGGACTACCTTATTAACTGGAATTTTGGCACCATGCCACTGCACTGCAAGCCGCAGGATGCACACAGCATGGCGCTGTGCCACAAGTGGCAGGATACACAAGGCACCGCACCATGCCACTTTGCCTCCTGCTGTGCAGGGGAGCAGGAAAAGGAAAGCTCACATGCGGCGGGCGCCGCTGCCACCGCTCAACACCCTGTGCTGCCACCGCTCTGCGTGTGGCTGCCCCCACCCCCTTCCCCCCTTGCGCTGTGTCCGGTTCAGAAACCCCGTACCTCAGGTAACCATCACTTTTAGCTTACCGGCACTCCCATTCCCCGCTCATGCCGGCTAACAGGGATCTTACTGTGTTATGCACATATAAATACCAGATCAACTAACACTCATAGCCGATTCTCAGAACCACTAGTACCATACTCAGCTTGGTACATTACTGTAGACAATCCTCAACAATGGCAAGCGCTTCTGCCATACAAACAAACGCGCATTAGCCGTTCACCTCAGACCCCAGATTTCTGACGTGGATTGGGTGATGTAGTTAGAAAGCAAATCCTCTGGTCAGGATGAGTTGATGTCCATGTTTAGCATAACATGGTTTCCTGTGTTGGTGTTTTTAGTTAGATACATATGCACTCTCCCAGTTTTCTATCTCTGAAGCTTTGTGTAGCAAACACTGAATAAGGTTTGTAGGTACGCTATAATGTACACGATATAAAATAAAACTTAGAGTACAAAACTGATCTGGCTTCAGTTGAGTTCTTGTTTTCAATGGAGTTATACTGGGGTGTATTGGCCTTGGTGTCATATACAGTGCAATAGGCAGACACAGTGCAAGACATTTCATAAGGATTTTTTTTTTACTTCTTTTTCCTGTGAACAGTAAGACATACCTTACTCAGGAAAAGTTTTTCATGCTTTTCAGTACTGATGAAATGATTTAATCCCAAATCCCTTCCCTCTGAACTGCTGTTTTCAGTTCAGTGGTTGATGAATTTGTTTTGCTAAATTATTTTATGGGTTTAGAAACTGTTGTGCTATATACAAGTTACGGTTGTTAGTGGAGTACAATATAGTTGCTTCAGTGACTTTTATAGTGAAATGTTCAGTTTATCCGGTGAAGTAGGTGTGGCACACGCCTTTGAAAGACTTTGATTCTATATAGAAATTGTCTACTTTAGATAATGCATTAATGCAAGGGAAACTGCTTTACTTTGCATATACATCTCTGATGCAATATAAATATATTAAAGATTTGAGGTAACAGGCAATTTAGTAGGGAATGGATCAGGCATTAATAGCTATTTGTATTAATTTGGGGCAGAATTATTTGAAATGCAATTAATTCCAGTGTACTTTAAAATGTAGCCACTCTATTTCCCAGCTGTTGAGCTGAACAAAATCTAATGTCATTTTTAAACATCAGTATATATAATGTCATATATTAGCTGACCTTAATATATTCTCTGAGTCCTTACTATGACATAGTACTTTATTATGAGAAGGGGATGGGAAAGATACATCTTATTAGCATGGAGTGCTGTATGCATTTTTAATGTACGGCAAATAAAGGATTCAGCTATCTGTCATCTATTGCCTGTGGCACTGCCCCTTCAGTGACACTTGGGGGCTGTTGAGAATCCCTTGTTATAATATGGCCACTAAATTAAAGAGAAGGTTGGATGATTTCACTACTTGTTAAAGAGATCACCTCGTTTGGATACTGCCACACTACCTTGACCTGAAAAAGCGTATCCTTGGGACACAGAACTGCTCAATATAAAAAAAAATGTACAAAGGAAAATGGAAATGCAAGACAGGAATCTGGCCACATCAAAGAAGCAAATATGAAAATAAAGGAGATGAGAAAATAAGGAACTAGGCTTTTTGCCATTGCATTGTGTGTTCCTGTAATGCCTTTAATCACTACAACACAACCAGAAACCTCTGCCTTTTTGAAGTAGGGGTGCATGAATTTGTACAGAGGCACAAGTTCCAGTTTTGCCGAGCCCATTTCAGCATGGAGAGAGTGTCAGGGTTTCTGTCTCTCTCTCTCTTTATGTCTCTCAAGTAATTGACTGAAGAGCCAGTAGCAAAGGCTAAATTAGTATCCATGTCTCTCTTTCACACATTCAAGGAACAAGTATCCCAAGACAGAAACTTCTGGATTACTGGGCACCAAAAAGGTGATGATATTTTTGATGTGATACAGAACTGATAAGGATTTAATTTAGACAGGACCACAGCATATTCCCAGGTGGACTGCAGTGCTTCCAGCATCTGGAACATTCATTTCCACTAGTGCCTGGTTCAATGGTATTATGATTTTATATTGCAGCACTAACAGACTTGTTGAACTAGAACAAAGCACCTGTGAATGATGCTACGGAGCCCTATTACTCTGGCTTTAGAGGACATGACAGCTTGCTTTCCCATTTAATTATAAATTTTTCTCTAACAGGTTAAAAAAAAAAAAGAGGAAAATTGCTTTGTATAATCTAACCACCGATTCCCATGGTTCCTGCCTTAAAAACAGAAGTTGCTATAAAAAGGGGCACTTAACCTCAACCTGAAAGAGAATTCTTTATCTGAATACAGAAAAATGAGGGGAAGTCTGGTTTGTTCCTATTGTGTCTGAGCTCTGAGATCTTTATTAAAAAACTGAGAAAAGCATATCAAATCAAGCTGCATTCTGTATGTCCAACCACTTCAAGTTAGCGGAGACAAAATGAGTTTTAGACCAGGGGAAAATTAAAAGGATAGAAAATACTTTTAAGTTTAAATACAGATAAGCCCATTTCCCTGAAACCAGTGTTACAACTATGGTCTGGAGGCAGTGCAGGATGGTCTAGTTTTCTTCTTCTTGATCCACAGAAGTTATAAGAGATTGTTCACACGTCACAAACTGCATCCCATATCTACCAAGGGATGGATTAAAGAAACCAGTTTTTAGGTGAGTATAAGCCTCAATTGTGCAGTGGGAAAATACTATTTTAGAACAGGTAAGGAAAGTCCACATCACCCAACAGATTCACAATTGAAAGCTTTCCCAGGTCCTTTTTCAATTGGTCTGTTTTACTTTATTTTGCCTTTGGAATGGACCAAAACTACTAAAAGAGCTTCTCAAACAAAGACTGTACCTATACGTTCCTATAAGGTCTTTTTGTCCCCAGCCCTTTCACAGTAAACAAGTCGAACCTGCAGGGCCTTCTCTTTTTGTCCTTCACATAGGTGTACATTATAAACAAGTGCACTGAAGTCAATGTAGTCGCACCAGTGAACCTGACTGAAATAAAACGAAAGTCTGGCCTTTAGTGTTGTGTCTATATGTGTAGAAGATGCAATCTTGCCAATATGGATTTCCCATTTTTTAACTCAATATATTTTTCAGAAGGTAGCAAAGTGCAACATGATATAAAGTTAACGATTGGCATTGCTTTGCTCCCTGACTACACTAATGAAGCAGCATGTCAGTTTAAATGGTAGATTCTGCTTACCTGATGAGCACATAATCTAGCATACACGGACTGCTTATAGGTAAAGAAGGAAAAAAAGTTCATGGGAACTTTCTGTTAAAATAATAGCTAAGTATCAGCCTTTGCCACAAAAAGCGGTTGACTCATGGCTCTTATGCAATGTGATATGATTGTGGCCAGAAGTGCCCTTCTCCATGAGGATGCCACTGAATTTCAGTCAATAGGTCTCAGCCTCAGGTCTGTCACTTTAAATTGTACATATACAAATATTATAATCATGCTGTTAAGTACAATAGGAAATTGAACTAATGCACTCAGATCTCAAATGCTATCGTCATTTTTATATCAATTTAATTTATACTTGCAGCCCGTGCTAGGATTTTTTTAATGTCATTACACAGTAGGGCAAAGGCTTCATTTCTAATAAAAATACCAATGCTAAAATGAAATGGATTAATATCTAATTTTACATCTTCATTTACATGATGTGCAAAATTATCTTAAATATTTGTTATGGATGAAGCAGCCTTACACCAATTTAGGCTTTTTTCATACTGGAGGATGTTAACATAAATTGTAGCATAAATCATTGCCTTGTAGAGTACCAGAAGGTGCATATAAAAACCCATATCTTTACTGCACATATTTCCCATTAACCATAATCTATTAGTAATTGAAGTTCATTACAAATTCTTGTAGACTTTATTGCTATCATGCTGCATGACATACTGAACCTGGCTTGCATAACAAGAAGTCCTTGCTGGGAAATATCCTATTAACAATGACAGTGCATTTGTCATTGTGATAATAAACCCAAGAGCTGCCTGTAGATTATAAATTATTGCGGTGCCATTTCCGCTGCTGTAGTTTAAAAGTTTTGTCAGCACTTCCATTGTAAATCCCCATTTTTCAGGAAGTTAAAACTTGACCATAAAATCTACAATGAGCTGAATTTAACTTACAAGGTCTCAGCCCAAGAAGGGATTATTTTACCTTTCTCTTTCTTTTCTTTTAACAGATGGATATGTGGTTCACTTATGCTGAAATTTTATGAGGAGAGGCTGTAGTTCAAGATGCACTTTTTTCTATTGCATCTGTGTAACTCATAATTGATTCTGTTGAAAGCATGAACATCTGACAAGCAATTAGCCTATATTGATTTTTAAGCTTTTACCAGAATTAAAAATAATAATCATATAAAAAGGTGGTCCTGATTAATTATCACAAGGATTAGGCATGTTCTAACCCCTGGAAGCCTGTGAGGCCTTTGTTGAAGGTTCCTATCTTTAATATAACATTTACGGATGACACTAACCTGGGGGCGGGGGCGAGGCGGGGCAAGGATTAGATACACTGGAGGGTAGGGCTAGGATTCAGAGAGACCTTGACAAATTGGAGGATTGGACCAAAAGAAAATCACAAGGTTCAATTAGGACAAATGCAAAGTCCTGCACTTAGGATGAGGTTACAGTGCACAATTAGCTGAATATGAGCCACTAGTGTGCCCTTGTTGCAAAGAAGGCTAACAGCATACTAGGCTGCATTGGTAGGAGCGTTGCCAGCAGATCAAGGGAAGTGATTCTTCACCTTTATTCAGTACTATAGAAAGGATGCGGACAAATTGAAGCAAGTCCAGCAGAGGGCAATGAAAATGGTTAGGGGGCTGGGGGACATGACTTCTGAGGACAGGCTGAGGGAGCTGGGCTTATTTCGTCTGGAGACGACAAGACTGAGAGGGGGTTTAATAACAGCCTTTAACTACCTGAAAGGCGGTTCCAAAGAAGATGGAGCTAGATTGTTCTCAGTGGTGGCAGATGACAGTGCAAGGAGCAAGGGTCTCACATTGAAGCATGGCATATTTAGGTTAGATATTAGGAAAAACTCTCGCTAGGAGTGTAGTGAAGTGCTGGAACAGGCGACCCAAAAAGGCTGTGGAATCTCCAACCTTAGAGTTTTTAAAACCCAGGTAGACCAAACTTTGGCTGGGATGATTTAGTAGGGGCTGATCCTGCTTTGAGCAGGGGGTTGGATTAGATGACCTCCTGAGGTCCCTTCCACCCCTAATTTTCTATGATTTCATAGAATCATATCATAGAATCATAGAAGTAGGGTCAGAAGGGACCTTGTAGATCTTCAGGTCTGACCCCCTGCCTGGGCAGGAAGAAAACTGAGCTCAAATGACCCCTGCCAGGTAGGCATCAAGCCGCTTCTTAAAGACCCCCCAGGGTAGGAGCCAGCACCACTTCCCTTGGAAGGCGGTTCCAGATCCTAGCCGTCCTAACTGTGAAGTAGTTCCTACGGATGTCTAATGTAAACCTACTCTCCAACAACTTGTGGCCGTTATTCCTTGTTATCCCGGGGGGCGCTAGGGGAAACAAGGTCTCCTCCAAACCCTTCTAGTCCCCCCTAGTGAGTTTGTAGACGGTCACCAGGTCCCCCCTCAGCCTTCTCTTGTGGAGGCTGAACAGGTTCAGGTCCTGTAGCCTGTCACTGTAGGGTCTGCCCTGCTGTCCCCGGATCATGCGGGTGGCCCTCCTCTGGACCCTCTCAGTGTTGTTCACATTCCTCTTGAAGTGCGGTGCCCAGAACTGGACACAGTACTCCAGCTGCGGCCTGACCAGTGTCGCATAGAGGGGGAGGATCGCCTCCTTGGTCCTACTTGAGATGCACCTTTGGATGCACAATAAGGTCCGGTTAGCCCTGCCGACCGTGACCTCGCATTGTCAGCCCATGTTCATCGTGGAATCAATGATGACTCCAAGATCCCTTTCTGCCTCCTTGCTCTTAAGAAGGGAGTTTCCCATCTTATAAGTGTGCTGCCGGTTACTACTGCCCAAGTGCAGCACCCTGCACTTGTCCGTATTGAAACGCATCCTGTTTTTGTTAGCCCACCCCTGCAACCTATCCAGGTCTTTCTGCAGTCTTTCCCTCCCTGCTAATGTGCCCACCTCACCCCAAATTTTGGTATCATCAGCAAATTTGAACAGGTTGCTCTTCACCCCATCGTCCAAATCGCTGATAACCTACTTTAACCTACTTTTCTGTGATTTACAGGCCACATGACCTGCA